AGTCTGGAGTAGCTGGTCTTGGGGTTGTCTGGGGCCTTGGTGGTGTCATCAAGGATCCACACTTCTGGCAAGTTGCACCTCATGATCTCAAGGTGGCTGCCGTGGCACCAACATCACATTTTTCCCACAACAGTGCATCAAAGAACAACCTTGATGAAGCAAAGATAGACGTGTTGAGGCCCCAAAGTAGGACAGGGCAACAGCAATGGGAATGGTCCAGCTAAACATGACAAATGTCTGGTCAGCAAATGTCACAGCCATGGCATTACTGCCAAGGACGTCTGAAATGCTCAGAACTGTGTAATAGGCCTCATTGGTCAGGATGTAGATGAGTGTCATAATTGGCATAGAAATCCCAATGGCCAGGGGCAAATTTCTTTCTGGGTTTTTGATTTCTTCTGTTACAAAATTAAGGGTGTCCCAACTTGAGTACGAGAAAGGGCAGAGTACTCTGCAAGTGCTCAGAATGTCCCTGGCACAATTTAACAAGGCCCATGACAATGATGGCAATGAGTGCCAGGACCATGACATAAGTGAACATGTCCTGCACATGTGTGCAGCCATCAATATGAGAAAGGAGGATAGAGTGGTTTGCCAGGATAAGATGCAACCTGCTTTTATACTCCATTTGGACCTGGTGGTGGATGGCAGACAGGTGCCGACAGATGCAGAGATGTCTTAAAATGTTCCTGTGCAAACAAAGATAAAAATTAGAGGCTTTGGTCATGTCAACCAGACCTGGGATTGGAAGGCTGAAAAGTTTTCCAGTCAAACAATTTCTTAGGAAGACATCATTTCCCTAGTGTACTGGTTATCCTGGTGGTTTGGGAGACCAGTGCATTGCATATGGAGACATCAGGCCACACAAAAATCTCACGTTGTGGAAATACATTGTTTTGCTTGAATGACATTCAGATTTTCTCAGGAGAACCACTGGTTTTGGAGCTACTGAGTCCAATCCTGGCTCTCGCGGGGGAGGGGCATGCAGCAAGGACTGACAGCTAGTTGGCCCAGGAGTCAGGGAGGACAAATATCTGGATCTGAGACTTGAGTGAGCAGTAGAAGTTGGCCAAGAGGGCAAAAGAGAACTTCAAGCAGAGGAGATGGCATGGGCAGGGAGGGGGTGAGGGTGCAGGGCTCACCTGGCAAATCCTTTATGGTGGTTCATGTGGCAGGAGTTGAGTCCAGGGTAGACCTGTGTGGCTGCTATGGGAGTTGAGTTTGGCATTGACTGCCACAGAAGGTGCTAGAAAGTTTGAAGTCAGGGAAGGATAGGATTAGATTGACAGGCTGGGGAACAACAGCAGCCACCATGTGGTGTGGTAGAAGTTTCTGGGCGTTCACAAAATGCCTTTCTTTTTCCTTCTGGTCACACCGCTAGACTGTGTTTCCCAGACTCTTCTGTGGCCAGGTGAAGCCATGTGATTGAGTTCTAGTCAATCAAATATGGAAGGAAGTGGTATTTGCCATTTCTAGGCCTACCCCACAAACCACCCCCTGCACAGTCCTCCACATTCTCCTCCCCCATTGGCTGGCTGGTGCGGATGATCTGAGGACCTAGATGGTGGATCTCCAAGGTGGAAGTAGCCTGGCTCCCTGAGCCACCATGTGATGAAGGGCCTGCTCTGGACTATTCTGTGAACAAGGAATCAATTTTTACTATGTTAAGCCATTGAAATGTTGGGGTTATTTGTTACGCACCTACTCTGACTAATGAGAACCATAATAAGAGCTACTAGTTGTTGGGCACCTGCTCTGAATTGGGCAGTGTACTAAGGGCATTGTCTCACTTAATCTATACACCAATTCTATGGGGATGGGTACCACCATTAGCCCACTTTTACAGACAAGGAAACTGAGGCTGAGAGAGAAGCTAGGGGGCACAGGTGGAGAAGCTTGATCCCCAAACCTGGACCCAAGTGCCAAACTGTGCCCTGCTGGTTGCCAGCTTTAAAGGAATGGATTGAAATTGGGTGAGGCATCAGACATAGAGAACAGACTTGTGGTTGCCAAGGGGGTGGGTGGGAAAGGGATGGACTGGGAATTTGGGTTAATGGATGCAAAATATTTTATATAGAATGGATAAACAACTAGGTCCTACTGTTTAGCACAGGGAACTATATTCAATATCCTGTGATAAACCATAATGGAAAAGAATATGAAAAAGAATATATATATGTATATGTATAACTGAATCACTTTGCTGTACAGCAGAAATTAACACAACATTGTAAATCAACTATACTTCAATTAAAGAAAAAAAAAGAAATTGGTTGAAGCAAGAAGACCAGATGAGGAGTTGTTGTAGTAATACCAGCTGGGAGTTCCTACCTGTGAAGTGGGAAAATAATAGATTATTGTGAATATTAATTATTGAAAGAATGCATGTGTGGTGTCCAGTGCAGGGTCTGCAGTTGGCAGGTGTATAATGAATATTTAATTTGTTTTCAAGAGCCTAAGTAAGAACCGATGAAGGCTTGGGTGAAAACAGGAGAGAAATATTCCAGGAGCAGCACTTGGCAGGACTTGGGCAAAGAATGAGGGAGATGGGGGAGTTGAGGGTTGGACAACCATCTTATGTTGCAGGGAGGAGGGGAATAAGAAACATCTTGTACAATGTGCTGTGGGTGCAGAGGAGGGAGAGAACAGGTCTCAAGATAACCAGCAAGAGAGCAGCCCCAAAACCTTCTGAGATATGCAAATGTTCAATAGAGACGCTGCGTTCCAGGGCCTCGAGCTGCAAAGAGCTCTCAGCAAACTGTCAAACCCTTGTCCAGAGGCGTCTACTTCTGTCCCGAAGCAGATGCTTTTCATCTACACGATCTTGAGCAGGTTCATCAACTTCTTTGTGCCTCATTTTTATCATCTGAAGATGGGGATAAGAAGTCATAGGACTTATAGGGCTGTTGTGAACGTGTGCAGAGCGCTTAGCACAGCGTTAGATGGGTAATGAGTTATCAATAAATGGTGGACATTTTCATTAAAATTCTCTTATCCCTGACATTACTTCTCTATCTCTACATACAATGCTCAGATAATAGTTATATGAACATCGAAACAGCATCTTTGTCTGTCTTGATCACCGCTACATTTCCTGCCAGCTCTTAGGACAGTGGCTGGTTCACAGTAGGTATGTAAATATTTGTTAAATGTATGAGCATCTTTGAATGTATGAGTAAGGAAACCCATCTCTCTTTCCTTCCCTTCCTCTCTTCCTCCCTTCTTTCTTTCCATCCATCCACCCATCTGCCGATCCTTCCATCCATCTCTTCTTCCATCATCCATCCATCCGTCCATCCATCCATCCATCCATCCATCCATCCATCCATCATCTTAGAAAGGCTTAACCCACAAGTTTTTTTCTTTCAGTTGTGAGTGTAGTGGCTTTACCCACAGAGGTTTTTTTTCTTTCAATTCAAAATATGTGTAACACAAAATTTACCATTTTAACCATTTAAGTGTATAGTTCAGTGATATTAAGTACATTCATGTTGTGCCACACCTCCAGAACTTTTTCGTCTTCCCCAACTGAAACTGGGTACCCATCACACAGTAACTCCTCATTCTCCCCTCCTCCCAGATCAAGGCAGCCACCATGCTACTTTCTGTCTCTATGCATGTGACTACTCTAGGTACCTCACATAAGTGGAATCACACAGTATTTGTCCTTTTGTGACTTAGCCCACAATCACAAAAGCTGTGTGATCCTGGGAAACTTAACCTTCCCGAATTTCCACTTCCTCATCTGTAAAGTGGCTGCAATAATAGTACCTACCTCATGGGGTTGTTGTGAAGTTTAAATGAGATAATACATATAAGGTACTTAGACCAGTACTTAGAAAGTGCTCAGTAAATATTCACATAAATACATATTCTAAATCAGCAGGCACTGGTATTGTGCTCTGACTCTGTCATAAACACTTTATGATCTTAACTTATTTAAGCCACACAACCCGATGTCATTGGTACCACCACTATCATCCATGCTGCACGGGAGAAAAAGTAAGGTGCAGAGAGGGTAAGCAACTGCTCAAGGTTACTCAGCTGGTTCACGGAAGAGCTGGGATTGAAATCCAGGCAGCCTGTTTCCAAAGTCCACAGGCTTTACCATTGCCTCTGCAATCTCCAGAGATGGTCATCCGTCTACACCCTCAGTCCTGGATCAGCCTATCAGCATGAGTCTGTGGAGGTGCCGGGGCCTCAGACACAAGGAGGTGTCTTTAGAAGTCCATGGAAAAATCACTGAAGATGAGTTTACCGTTACTTCCCATGTGTGGTCCTGATCTGGCGGGGCCCTCCTCGTGTTCACTCACACACGTGGGTCTCCTCTGGGCCCCGGTGGTGACCAAGGGAGCTGGGGATCAGGGCCCTCCATCTCCTGCTGGGGCAGACCTGGAGCCCTCCCCAGGTGACGCAGCGAAGCTGACGCCTTTTGCCTTTGCTGGCAGAAAGCTCAGCAATCCTTGGCCACCCCCTGCCCTGCCTGGTTAAGGTTAAAAACAGTGTTTCCTCTCCTGGGCCTCAGGGCCGCCTCCTACTGGGCTTTATTGCTTTCTTGACACCCTCGGGAGCCTCTGTAGCCCTTTAAAAGGGGCAGAGCCTGTAGTGGGCTGGAAGCCCCGGTCCTGGAGATAAGAGTGTCCTGTCCGGGAGATCAGGTGCGGGTTTTCCAGCCAGCGCAGGCCAGAGTCCCGTCCTGAGTCACCTCCGCCCTGATGTCTGCAGAGGTGAGTACACTGCTGGCCTCTTCCTCTGCAGCCTGGCCATCCAAGCGGTTGCTGAGAATTAATTCAAGATTGGGGCACTGGGGGGCTTCTTTCTGGACTCTCTTCCCATCCGTGTCCCCCTCCGTTCCCCCCCTTCAGGCAGCTGCATCCATGTGTGACCTGGAGTTTGGTGGCGTCAAGGTGAAGGAGCCCAGCGAGGGGGGCAGGTGGCGTGGGTGCTGGTACGAGCGGTTTGTGCAGCCCTGCCTGGTTGAACTGCTGGGCTCTGCCCTGTTCATCTTCATCGGCTGCCTGTCGGTCATCGAGAACGGGACCGACACTGGGCTGCTGCAGCCGGCACTGGCCCATGGGCTGGCCCTGGGCTTGGTCATCGCCACGCTGGGGAGTATCAGGTGGGAACAGCTCTGAGCACTCTGCCTGGTGCCAACCTGGGGAGCCAGGCAGGGAGCAGAGCTGTGGGCAGGGACCCCTGGGCACATGCCCAGGATCCCAAAAGCAGTGTGGGTAAAATGTGGGTTGGGCGAGGGGTCAGGCTGCTTGGATTTGAATCCTGGCTGTTCAGCCTATGAGCTCTGTGGCTTTGACTAAGTCACTCCCCAAACCCAAACTTCCCACCTATGAAATGCGAACAGTGGGAGTATTTTCTAAATCTTATTTCTCAAGCCAACACATGAAGGAGAAAGGCCGGGTAACTCGTCCAGAGTCCCATGGTAGAGCCAGGAGGCAAACCCAAGCTGTCTGTCCTAAACCCAGCATCTCCTGGGGAAGGCACGAGAATGAAATGATGTGAAGAGCTTAGTCTATAGTAAGCGCTCAGCCACTGTTGGTTGCTGTGTTATTGTTACCTTTAGGACGGGGCATTTTGCTCCAGCCTGGGGTAAGGCAGAGTTATGCAGAAGAACCCGCCGGGGGGGGCAGGGAGGCCCGAAGAGTTCCCCTTGCATAGCCCTCCCCTGGACAGGAGCTCCACCGGGAGGTCGTGGGCTCCCAGGAGAACCAACCACAATGACAAATGTCTTGGATGGAGTGTCTGTCAGGGGCCTCTAGAACCTGGTTGGTCTGTATTTAATCTCACACAGAAAACAGATCTGAGTAAGGAAATTGAAATACTGTTTCCTAGAAAAGCAGAATGGAAAGAGAACTTTAACATTTCTCTTTAAATATCTAAGGGAAGCTGCAGGTGGGATGAAACACAGAGTCTTCTGTTCGATGACGGGTCTGGGATTGAAGGCAGCCTTTGTCGCTGCTTAGCTGGGTGACCAGGGCAGTTGGCTGGCCCTCTCTATGTTCAGTGGAATCAAAGGGGATGGTAGTGATAGCTGGTATTTATTGAGCACTAACTATATGCTAGTACTCTGTGTGAACACGTATTAGTTATCTTTGCAACAGCCTTTGTGAGGTGGGGACCACTGAGGCACAGAGAGGTTATGTAAGCTGCCCACGGTCATACAGCTCTTCGGTGGCAGAGCTAGGGTTTGAACCCAGGCCAGCTGGCAGGAGAGAACATCGCTTTGCGCTGCAGGAGACTGCCTACCTGAAATGCCAGCCTTTTATTCAGCCATCTGTTTTTTGTCAACAAATATTTATTCGGTACCTACCGTGTGCCCGGCACTGACTCTGAGGTTATTGGAGCGCCCGACACAGCACCTAGCACCAGAGTAGGTGTTCAATAAGTATTTGTTGAGCAAACCATGGATGAGTAAACTAAGAAGGTGTCTTGATTGTTTTACTGTTAATGAGTGTGAAGTGTCCCAGCCTTCTTCTGGTAGAACCACACTCTGAGTGACAGTGTCTCTCCCCGTTTGGGCTGTGGGACCTGGTGGTGAGGCTGATGGCCGAGAGGGTTCTAAGTCTCCCTCCTGCAGGAGGCCACCCCACCTCCACCTTCACCTCTCTGCTTTGGCAGAGCCCAGGCTAAGTTTGGTCATGGACCTGAATTGAGGCCAAGTAAGCCTGGCTGCCCCTCTCCCTGCCGGTCAAGTCTGAGATCAGCTGGTGCTTCCTGATCCTGCAGGAAGCTCACCCAAGGGCCTGTGCACAGAGCTGCACCTGACAAGTTGGGGCAGCTGGTCCTGAAGTGTGAGCATGTTGGACAAAGTCCCTGTGTCCAGAGCCAGGGTCCTCTGTCCAGTCTCAGCTCAATGCCCTGTGCCCATTGGGTGGGCAGGCGCATTGGTGGGCTCTAAACATCTGGGTTGACATGGGGGGGCCTTGGGGTCACTGTCCCTCTTATTGGGTGTGTCCATCCCAGGCACCAGGGGGATTGGTGAGCCAACCTCTCAGGATAGTTCCTTCATCTGAGTGGGACTGGATAGGATGCCAATGGGGGTAGCAGGGCATTGGGGGGGGCCTCTAGGCTCTGGGGCTTGGACTGGTTGAGCATCTTGGTGAAAAGGAAGGCTCTTGGCCCATGACCTCTGGAAGGACCAGCCAAGTTGAACCAGCCCTTTGGCCTAGGTTCGACTTGGTCTAATCCCCTTCACATCCCAAACTCCAGATCCCAATCCCAACTTAATCATGAACCTCTAGCCTCGATCCTGATTCCCAGTGCCATTTCCAGGAACCTCTAATCTCAATTTTACAGGCAACACTAGTCACACTTTCAGACCAAAAATAGGAATTTTACTGGTTGAGTTCCACCAATAAAAAATTTCATTGGTTGAGTTCAACCAATCAGGAGCTGTTGTTCAGGGCCTGGTTTCTTCTAAGGGGAGGCCAGGATACCTGTCTTGGGCTGTGAGTTTGAAGCCTGGGGTCTCATTCTGACCTGTGGCCACGGCTCTGAAGGGCTGGATGCAGCTCTTAGGGGCTCTGGAAAGAGCTGAGGGACAGTTTCCCACCGTATTCTTGTCTGGGCCACCCTGGGGTCTGGGTGTAGGACAGGAATGGTGCTGCCCTCCCCTCCCAGGCTCTCCCCCACCACTTGGCACCTCGGGGAAAGTGGGCTTAATTTGGTGCCTGTTTTCTACCTGGGCTGCCCTTGACAGACTCCGGCCCCTCAAGGCCACCTGGGGAGGTGGTGGGGCTGCTGGGACCCAGTGCCTGGGCCTTGGCCTCACGACTCCTTCTGCTTTTTTGGGTGACAGTGGTGGACACTTCAACCCTGCAGTGTCCCTGGCAGCCATGCTGGTCGGAGGCCTCCACCTGATGATGCTCCTTCCCTACTGGATCTCCCAGCTGTGTGGGGGGCTGATCGGGGCCGCCTTGGCCAAGGTGGGTGATCCCCCAGGGGGCTGGGCTGGGGGCTTTTGCTCTGATGGGGCTGCTGGGGTGGGTGAGGGGCAAGGAGTGGGGACTGTCCAGTTCTTTTTTAAAAAATTGATTGATTGGCTGCGTTGGGTCTTCATTGTTGCGCTTGGGCTTTCTCTAGTTGTGGGGTGAGTGGGGGCTACTCTTCCTTGCAGTGCGCGGGCTTCTCATGGCAGTGGCTTCTCTTGTTGTGGAGCACGGGTTCTAGGCGCACGGGCTCAGTAGTTGTGGCTCGCGGGCTCTAGAGCGCAGGCTCAGTAGTTGTGGCACATGGGCTTAGTTGCTCTGCGGCATGTGGGATCTTCCCGGAGCAGGGCTCGAACCCATGTCCCCTGCACTGGCAGGTGGATTGTTAACCACTGCGCCACCAGGGAAGTCCTGTCCAGTTCTTTTCCTGTTGCCTCCAATGGGATTGGGTGGACCTTTCTACCTTGGAGGGGACACTCAAAGGGCCTTTGGTTTCCTCCAAACCCACCCTGTTCTGTCTGTGTCTGGACACAGCCCTCCCTAGACAGACCAGGAAGCAGAATTCAGGACTCAAGGTTTCTGTTCCTGAGTCCATTTCTGGATTTAGACAATTCTAGTTTTTTCATTCATTCACTTCATTCATGCTACAAACATCTCAGTAAGCACTGTCAGAGGGTACAGGATATACAGGGTTATTCTCCTCGAGAAACTCCTGAACTAACTTCTCTGTGTGTTCTCCAGTTTGCCTGCCTTTAAACTGAGTTACTCTACCTTAAATGGGAGTTAATGCTCAAATTACTGGAATCCTCCCATTCCGGTAGGAAGGCTAGCTCTTCCTCTCAAGCCACAGAATTTCTATAGCTCTACACGTAACTCCATGGAAGGACTTCCCTCCTCCCTCTTTGCCTGCCTGACTTCCTTGTTTCCTTCTTTCCTTCTCTCTCTTTCCTTCCTGCTGTTCTGAAGTCTCAACCAGGGACCCTTCAAATTGGAAGCCTTGCTTGGCTTGTGTTGGGGGTGGGATTGGAGGGAGTGGGGAGGTGGGAAGGGGTGAAGGGGGCACCCTGTTAGCTTGCCTGGGGTTTGGTCTGTGGCTCTAAGCGCTGCCCATTGCAGACTTTGGTCTCGAATCCCATCTTGCTGTCTTCCCTGCCCTGGTCTCCCTGTGCCCCCATTTGAGACCCTGCTCCCCTGTCTGTTTAGAACAGGGCCCGGACCTTGCTGCTCTGATTCCCAGTGGAAAGCAGTGCTGGGACTCTCCCTCAGGCCTGGTCACTTGTAAACTTGTCCAACATGGTGGAGACCAGTGTGGGGCAGAAGTGGTCATTCACTGGGTGTCCTCCCCCCTCCCCGAGCACTTGGTAGAATCCTCTCATTTAATCTCCAACTTGACTAGAAGCCTGCATCAGTCCTTAAAGAGCACTCCCCACCTGGGCCCAGGGCTATTACCATGACCATGCCTACTTTACAGAGGCGGAAGCAGAGGCACAGAGAAGGCAATAATTTGCCCAAGTTCAAATGAACTGGGGAGCAACTGAGCCTGGATTTGAGTCCCGGGTCCAGAAGCTTGTCTGCACTGCAGTCTTCCCTTCCCCGGTGTCGTGATGACCCCAAGGCCGATTTCCTGGGAAGCCAATGGGGCTTAAGCTTCAGGGCTCTTCTCATCCCTTCGAAGCGGCCTTTTAGGGGGCTGGTAATGTGTTTACCTGGGTATATGTGTTTGCAAAGTTTGTAAAAATAAGGTATTTTAGTATTCTTTCTCAAAGAGGGTCATATAAGTTACATACCCTTCAGGCCTACAATACCTGGAGCCACCGCTGGGTTATCCCCATTTACAGAAGAGCAAAATGAGGCTTAGGGAAGTCCAATAGCTCAGGCAAAGCCACACAGTAGGAACTGGTGGAGCTGGGATGTGGGTCCAGATATGTCTGACTGCGCATTGGACAGGACCCTTCCCTGGTTCAAAAGGATGGGGCCCCTCCCGTCAGCTCCCAGCTGTCTCTCCACCCACAACATGAGGCTGAGCACTGCTCACTGCAGGCGGTGAGTTCCGAGGAGAGGTTCTGGAATGCGTCTGGGGCAGCCTTCGTGACAGTCCAGGAGCCCAGGCAAGTGACAGGGGCAGTGGTGGCAGAGATCATCCTGACGACACTGCTGGCACTGGCTGTATGCATGGGCACCATAAACGAGAAGACGCAGGGTCCTCTGGCCCCATTCTCCATCGGCTTCTCTGTCACCGTGGACATCCTAGCAGGGTGAGTGCCCCTTGGCTGTGGGACCACAGTGCTTAGACCTGGGCCGAGGCTCGCCCCTGGAGGAGGGCAGGTCTGCTGAGCTTACCTGAGGGTTGCCAATAGAAGCCACACAGGTAATGTAAACGGGGGAAGTGGGCTGGCAGGAGGCAGACAACAGAGAATGGTGGGGACTGTGGCATCTAAGGAGGCCACCACCACGCACCTCTGATAAGTTATTGCTGTGTGGGAATATGGGCTTGGGGTGACCCTTCTAATTTCATTCTAGGGAAGTCAGAAGACTGGATTTTTATGTGAATTTTCTACTTTTTGTAGTATCAATAAACCATTTCTGTGGACTGTGTTTATCCTGCCAGCAGGCAGCCAGGTTTTAGCCTCAGACTTACCACACCCGTTGTCTCATTTATCTAGAGCCTCTTAGTAGGCTTGGGAAGGCATTAAGGAGACAAAGGATTATTTCTTCCCTTTTATATATGAGGAAACTGGGGCTCAGAGAGGACACAAGTGACTTATTTAAGGTCATTGGGAAGTGGCAAATTAAATGAGAGATCTGGGACAAGGGCCCCTGCTAAATATAGGGGATGAGGGAGCTCCTTCCTACAGGCCAACTCCTTCCTTTCTTCTTGGACACAGGACCAAGTGTAGCCTTTCTCTGCTCTGCCTGCAGCCCTAAGTCATCCTTTAGGAGGTGGAGTCTGGGGAAATGCATGTGCAGAGCTGTGGCAGTGCTTTGATGCCTCCTAGTGGCTTTTGGTTCACTTATAAGCCTACTGACTCATCCAGTTGGCTTTGGCTGCTGGCCACAGGTGGGGTCTGTGAGGGCTGAGGCCTGAGTGAGGACCCCAGCTTGAGTGAATGGGGAAAGGGTACAGACACCGGGACTAGAGAGGTGCTCTTGGGGAACAGTCCCCCTTCGGGAGATGCTGGGTCCCTAGCTTGTGGTGCAACAAAGGCCTCAACTAGGTCAGCTAGATTAGAGTTAGCACTTGCACATGAATTATAGGAGAAACATGAGCTCTATGAGATATGTACTTTCATCTCAGCTGAAACACAGAGAGGTTAAACAAAGGTCATAGCTAGAAATAGCTGGGCTGGGTTTTGAATCTAGGTCTGCTTGACCCCAAAGTTCATATAGCTGAAAACTGCTTATTTTGCCTTATCAACTCTGGAGGAGGAGTAGATCCATCTTCCTTCCTGCCATCACTGAACAGGCACTACTTGCTGCCCATTCTTCTAGAAGGGTGTGTGGGGAGTGGCAGACTGTAGGGAGGACTCTGGGGAGGGGGTCAAGCCTTTCACTTTGGAACCTCCCAGATCGCCATGATATGGTAGCTTAGAGGGGGTTTCTGGGTAGCGTGTGACTTAGGCCTACTTGGGGGAATGAACTTGGGTGAGTCGGAGCTCCTTGACTGAGATTCTGCCGACCATTGTGGCTGGGTGTTTGTAGGGGAGCTGTGTCTGGAGCCTGCATGAATCCTGCCCGTGCCTTTGGACCGGCTGTGGTGGCCAACCATTGGGACTTCCACTGGATCTACTGGCTGGGCCCGCTCCTGGCCAGCCTGCTTGTAGGAGTGCTCATCAGGTAGGAATATGACACAAGGTCATGGCCCATCTGGTCGGCATGGTGACAGTTCTTAGAACATCCAGGTCTAGAGGGCTAGGGTCTCGCTTGGGTTTGGAGAAGAGAAGAGGAAGCCTTCTTCAGAGGCAAAGATTATGGCTCTGGGACCTTTGGTGGCAAGTGACAGAAATCCATCTGAACACAGCTTTCATCATAAAGGGGAACTCATTGGCTCACATAATTGAAAAGTTCACAAGTGGCCCTGGCTTTGGTGGGAGCTCAGACAGTGTCTTCAGGGCTTGGTCTTTTTAGGCTCTACTGTCCTCTGGGTAGATTTCATGCTTGGATAGGCTCTCCAGTAGAGGCAAAGATGCCCACCAGGCACTCCAGACTTACATCCTAGCAGGTTAATAGCTGGAAACAGAGGAAACAGAACAACAGCTCTTACAAAGGTCCTGGCTCTGCTGTTCTCTGAGTTGGACTGGTCCAGCTTGGGCCATGTCTACCTCTGAATCGATCTCTGTAGCCATGGGGCCAGGCACTCTTATTGGCTATGTCTGGAGCATGAATCTTATCCTGGAGTTGGGGTGAGGTCAGCCTCACCTGAACAACTGTACGGACTGAAAGTAGGGGAGAAATAGCTCCCCACAGGGGTGTTGTACAACTCAAGGGACCCTGTCCACATAGAACACCATGTTAGTGGTGTCCCCAAGAGCATGCATGTCATGAGATGCCAATCACATAAGACGCAATGTGAGCAGTGCTCCCTGGAGCTGGGCAATGGGTAAGAAGGTTGATAGTGTTATCAGAAGGATAATATCCGCTTGACTGCTTCTCCTCCAGCTCTCTTCCTGTGAACCTCAAGGATCCAGAGTGTCCTTCCTTTCTGCTCCAGGTTGTGCAGGGATACAAGTAGGTACAGTGCCCGCTGTCTGGACGAGGACAGGCACTGGGCTGAGCTGATCTAGACTGCTTGCATCGCTGCCTGTCTGCAGTCCTGGCTTAGCCTATGGATTAGTGAAAAGCATCACAAGTAATTCTCTGATGCTTTCAGAATGGTAGAGATGGGGATCTTCAGGAAAAGGGTTAGAGACCCAACAGGAAAGAGTTTCTCCCTCTCCCCAGGGAGATCTGGCTCTTGAGGCTGGAGAGGCTCAGGAAGGCGTCTCTCTGGAGAATTCTGGGCCTGGAGACATTTGATGGAGGGTTGGGTCTCTCCCGGAGATGCAGAGATCTCACTGGGCCACGTTTTTTGTAGGTTCTTCATTGGAGATGGGAAAACCCGCCTAATACTTAAGGGGCGGTGAAGCTGAGATGGTGGAATTCCTGCTGCCCTAGGGGCCCTCAGTGGACCTGTCCTGGACTGCAGACCAGACAGGTCTGCATTTCCTGCCGGGGCAGAGCTCTGAGAAGTGACTGATACGCTTCCCCTGACTTGGGTCTGGCTTTTCAGATGTGCTGGCTCTTTCGAATTCCTTTGTGCTCATCAGAGACCTCAGCCTGGGGAATGTGTTGCCAGCAATGCCCAGAGACAGATAGCAACAAGCACAACAGAAGAGCTTTTCTTGACAGGGAAGGTCCCAGGAGCAGAAGAATGGGTGGAAGAGGTGGCCGTTTATGTGTCTCGGCTCACTTCCCTCCTCCCCTTTCTCCTTCTCTTGTTCCCTGATTCCTCTGTTATAGAAGGGCCTTCTTTGGTCTTTTTCCTTGCGGCCTGTGCTGTCAATCTAGCTTTGCAATAAATAGTCCAATGTTTCCTTCTGTGTGCCCACTGGCTGGCCTTTCCTTTCAGAAATGGACACCACTGGGGGGGAAGCAAAAGTCTGGGTTGAGCTTTAGGTGTCCAGAGTCTAATTAGCTCGAGCCCAGCTTAGAGTCCAGGGCCAAGGCAGGTACTCAGAGTGCAGACCAACCCAAAGCCCGTCTCCCTCTCAGCCAGCACCAAGGGAGCTCTGTCTGGAGCTCAGAGTCCGTTCTGGAGTCCAGTTTGGACTCTGGTCAGAATCAGTTCCAGATCACAGACCTCAAGACCCTTCTGAAGAGCCCAGTGCAGACTCCAGGGCATGGTTTAGTGCCCAAAGCTATCCAGGACATGGACTGACCCACTCATGGCACTCCAGCTGGGGATGCGGGTGGGTATGGGGGTGGACCAGAGCTGCAAGGATTTCCCAAGGAAATATATAACGTGGCATAATACAGGTCTGGAGAGACAGAGGCATTTAGATGGAAGATATGAGTATAGTGAATAACTAAGGATAAAAAAAGAATAAAAAGACACGTTCTGAAGTTCACACCTTAAAAATAGAGTGTGTATCTTCTCTACAAGAATCTATGGGTAATTTATGGAAGGTGATCATTCTAACACCGCAAAGGGGTGCTAGGGAAAAATAATTCTCAACAACGAACAAAAACATCACCCACTTCTACCAGACAAGCAAAATACTCACCTGAGTAAAAAGGAAGAAAATGCTCACTGGAGAATATTACCAATGCAATGAGAGATTGCCTGTTGAGAAAATGGACACTACCCAAATATCCAAGACATTTTGGAGAAAAAGAGAATAATAAATTTCAATAACAACAAACCTAAAGAGAAGAGCTACTCAGACAACCTGTGTTCAGTGATGTGAAGGTAATTGTAAAAATAGCTACTGACACTAATTGAGCACTTTCTACATGCCAGGATCTGCTTTGTGTTTGAAACATGTGGTAATTTATTTCATTTCCACAACTGTACAGGTACATATTATTTTATTATTTTTTTTTCATGTTATATATGAGGAAAGTGAGGCATAGAGAAGTCAAATTACTTACTCAAGGTCACTCAGGAAGTGGCAGAGCTGAGATTCAAATCCCAGTGGTCTGGCTCCAGAGTCTGGGCTCTTATACTGTTCATGTAATCTTAAGACATATAGCTGCACTTAAAGACAAATAGCGGGGGCTTCCCTGGTGGTGCAGTGGTTGAGAGTCCGCCTGCCGATGCAGGGGACAAAGGTTCGTGCCCCGGTCCGGGAAGATCCGCGGCTGGGCCCGTGAGCCATGGCCGCTGAGGCTGCGCGTCCGGAGCCTGTGCTCCGCAACGGGAGAGGCCACAACAGTGAGAGGCCCGCGTACCGCAAAAAAAAAAAAAAAAAAAAGACAAATAGCGAACATTAACTCATGGGGTTAAGAACAAACAGAATTGTTAACAGGGGAACTGTGCAATAATAGGAAGAGCTGTTAGGGTTAGTCAGGAAAGGATGAGTCTTTGCTGGAAGAACATTAGTGAGAACTTGTGATTTATCCAGTAGATCAAATGAATAGGCTGATAGGAAAGGATGGTAAATGATGTGCTCAAAGAACCCAAGTGAAGAGAGGGAAGGCAAAGAACTCAATGAAGGCAAATTCAAGACCCAGCGTACGCGCTGATGGACCTACTTCAGTTAAGAAGTAGGACTCTGGAGTCAGCTGAACCTGGGTTCAGATCCCAGCTTCACCACACTTACTAGCTGTGTGACCCTGCCTGGGCAATTTATTTAAGCTCTCTGAGCTTCAGTTTCCTCAGCAACAGGCATATTGTGTGGGTCCAATGAGTTAATGCAATGGGAAGGACTTAACACGGCACCTAGCATACAGTAAATGTTCAGTAAAAGTTTGAAATCAGAAACAACACATTAGAAAACTCACAAAGAGTGAAAAACATTAAAAGTTACTACATCCTTTGGCGAAATAATGAAATCAACCTTTGGTAAATCTAGTAAATAACAAAATAGTTACATATATATATACGTGTGTATATACACACACCCATACACACACATGCATACACGTGTACAGCTAACATTTATTGTTTATTATGTGCTCGGCACTGTGCAGAATGCTTTCCATGCATATCTCATTTAGTCCTCACACAACAATCCCATGAGGTAGTGTAGTGGGTTGAATAGTGTCCCCACCTAAATTCATGTCCACTTGGAACCTCAGAATGTGACCTTGTTTGGAAACAAGGGCTTTGCAGACCCAAGTAAAGTAAGGGTCAAGACGAACCATACTGGATTAGAGTGGGCCCTAAATCCAATGAAAGTGTCCTTATAAGAGACAGAAAAGGACACAGAGAAGGTGGCCATATGGAAGGACCGAGGCAGAGTTATGGTATCACATGATAGCACCAGGAGTCACCAAGAGCTAGAAGAAGCAAGGAAGGGTTCTCCCCGCAGCCTTTGGAGGGAGTGTGGACTGCTGACGCCCTGATTTCAGACTTTTGGCCCCCAGAATGGCGAGAGAATAAATACCTGTTTTTTTAAGTCACCGAGGTTGTGGTCATTTCTAGGGACAGCCTCAGGAAATGAATACAGGTAGCCACTCTTACTCTTCCCATTTTCCAGAGGAGCAAATGGAGATCCCAAGAGATGACATTACCCAGAGTCACATAGTACATTGGTGGAGCCAAAATATAAGGTACGTTTGACTGCAGGGTTCATGATCTTTGTCATCACAGGTTACTATTGCTGAATAAGGGACAGTATGTCGCCTGACTACTTGCCCCTTAGTCCCCCATGAAGAGGGGGACAGAAGCACGTGTATGATAAGTCTTCTCACTCCTGACTTGCAATTGGATTTCAAGTCCCGCTCTTCATATCCATTTCTAGACCACAAGCTCTCAAGAGGAAGATCGATGTTAATTCCTCTTTGTGATGCCACGTTATTGGGCTCACTGCTGTACAGAAGGGACTGAGTACTTGTTGACTGAAAGAATGGCATAGGCGGATCCTAATGACTCTCAGATTCATTCTGACCCTACAGAGTAGAATCCAAAATTGACCCAGATCACCTAAGTTTACCTCCACCCCACCTCCTGTCTTCTCAGGAACAACGAGGTCACAGAATTTTAGGATGTTAGAGCTGGGAACTCTATGGCAGTAGTAAAAAGCAGTTGCTACGAGTTTGGATTCTGAGAAAGATCCGAGTTTAAATCTCAGAACGTTGGCTTTTTTGCTGTATAAGTTTGAAGAAGTTATTTAACTTCTCTCAGCCTCAGTTTCCTTAAAATGGGAAACCTGCCTCAGAATGTTTGTGAGGATAAGTGTTTGTAAAGCATTAGCACAATGCCTCATACCTAGTAAGTGGACAATGTGATAGCTCTTATATTTATTATTCTCTAATCAAAAATTTTCTTTTCCCGGCACTGTGTGGCACGCAAGATCTTGGTTCAAACCCGTGCCCCCTGCAGCGGAGTGTTAACCACTGGACTGCCAGGGAAGTCCCTCTAATCAAAGGTTTTGAAATGTGCAGGTATCAGAATCATGGCAAGGGAGTGGAGCTCTGGCAAGATGATTCTAAACGGACATTGCACGCATGTATTTTCTCAATCAACTGTCTTCATATAAGGATCTTTGGGCCTCTTGAGGGGAAAATGTTGGGAAGCACTCATGCTGTCCAATCCCAAAACCCAGAGAGGCGAGCTAAATAACTTGACTATAATCACACAGTGATCTAGTGGCAGAGCCCAATTAGAATCCAGGATTTTGGACACACTCTCTAGTGTTTTTTTCTACTGCAGCAGGCGTGTGCTGCTTTATACCCTTGGAGCACAAGTACTGATTCATTTCCTTTTGTGAGAATCGGCTTGAGTCCTCATATTCTGTGTTGTTGAGAAGCCTAGTATTATGTTCTCGCATCTTCCCTCACCAGACTGTCCAAGAACTCTGAGAGTTTAAGCAATCCAAAGGGGAAGTATGCCAATCTTCTACCTTCATGTCCTAACTTTTAATTTTATTTTTTAAATATTTAATTATTTATTTGGCTGTGCCAGGTCTTACTTGCAGCATGGGGATCTAGTTCCCTGACCAGGGATCGAACCCAGGCCCCCTGCACTGGGAGCATGGAATCTTAACCACTGGACCACCAGGACATCGCTTTATTTTACTTCTAATATTAAAAAATTTTTTATTGAAGTATAGTTGATTTACAATGATGTGTTAGTTTCAGGTGTACAGCCAAGTGATTCAGTTACATATGTATATACTTTTTCAGATTCTTTTCCATTTTAGGTTATTTATTTTTGCTGTGTTGGGTCTTTGTTTCTGTGCGAGGGCTTTCTCTAGTTGTGGCAAGCGGGTGCCGCTCTTCATCACGGTGCGCGGGCCTCTCACTATCGCGGCCTCTCTTGTTGTGGAGCACAGGCTCCAGACGCGCAGGCTCAGTAGTTGTGGCTCACGGGCCTAGTTGCTCCGCAGCACGTGGGATCCTCCCAGACCAGGGCTCGAACCCGTGTCCCCTGCATTAGCAGGCAGATTCTCAACCACTGCGCCACCAGGGAAGCCCCATTTTAGGTTATTAAAAGATTGAATACAGTTCTCTGAGCTGTACAGTAGGTCCTTGTTGTTTATCTATTTTATCTATAATAGTGTACATCTGTTAACCCCAACCTCCTAATTTATCCCTCCCCACACCCTTTCCCCTTTGGTAACCATAAATTTGTTTTCTGTGTCTGTGAGTCTATTTCTTGTTTTGTAAATAAGTTCATTTGTATCATTTTTTAAGATTCCACATATAAGTGATATATTTGTCTTTGTCTAACTTACTTCACTCAGTATGATAATCTCTAGGTCCATCCATGTGCTGCAAACGGCATTATTTTATTCATTTTTATGGCTGAGTAATATTCCATTGTATAATATACCACATCTCCCTTATCCATTCGTCTGCCCGTGGTCTTCCTGCTCTAACTTTTTACTTCGTGCCCGCTGCAGCTGCCATTTTATAGCTGAGTCAGTCACACT